TCCCTCCTCTTCCTCCCGACTCCCTCCTTCTTAAAAAAATAGCCTTCTAAGTTTCCTTGGTGTTAATGCAAAGTATCTATAAAACGAAGGGTGGCTTTGGCGTTTTGCAGAATGGGTCTCAAAACGCTGCCCTGCCACTTGTCAGCCTCACGTGTGGAGCAAACGTGCTGTCATCGGCTGCCGCCTTTCTGGTGCTTAAGTCAGCCTTCAGGGCTCCCCTTCCGGTGGAAATCAGCGTGACCGTGAGAGCCGAGGCCGAGGTGCAGAGCCAACACGCGGCAGGCGCTGTGGACGTGACGTCATGAGTCCGCACAGCCCTCAGAGGGAACGGTGTCATCTGGTTTTAGAGCAGGGACATCGCCGTGCGGAAGGCTGCGCCTGTCAGCGTGTGGGGCTCGCTTCTCCGTGAGGGCGCTGAGGGTCACAGAGCTCCCATGTGCTGTGAAAACACTTCTGTAAATCAAGGTGTAAGAAGAAGAAAATCTCTACGTTTGCATATGTTATTAGGTCTTTCGAAGCGTTAAGTGCCAGGTTTATAAGGGAAAACTTCAGGAGACGTTATAAGCGTGCTACAGTGGGCAAAGAGGAGCAGCTGTAGTTTCTCCAGGGGAAGCACTGACCCATGCTGGAGGAACGGGTTCGGTGACACTCAGATGCCTGAAGAAAGGAGGACAGAAAGTATCGTTCGCTGTAAGACACTGTGTGGAGAACGTCCCCGTGTTCCTGGACATCTGAGACGGCTACTGGAAACAAGGAGCCCCTTCAGAGGCAAGTCGGATCGTGTACCCGAGTGTCCCTCTCTAGGGAGGCACACTGCTCGTCATCGTCAGTCCCGGGGCCACCCTGGGCGCAGCGAGCGTGCGGGGCGCCGACCCACGCGGCGGTCGGCGGAACTTGACCGTGCCACTCGTGACGGCAGAGTCGCCGCAGCTGGAAGTGCGTCTTGTGAGCCCCGTCTCTACGTCGTGCCGCCACTCAGACCGCCCTGAAGCCACGGCGGCCTCCTGCGACCGAGACCTTTCTCCTCAGGGCGCGTGACCGACACAACAGCCGGCGGTCCTCCCGGCCCCTCGGGGAGCCTCCTGGACACGGGCTTCCGTGGCACCGGGGTGGAGGCCCCGGCCACGGCGGGTTACCTGCTGACTCCCGCGGCTTCCTCCAGGGAGGGGTGGCCCCAGGAGGGTACGTGCCCTCTTCTCGGGGGGAAGCGGGCGTCTCGATGGCCTGGTACCGCTGGCTGCCCCGGCGTGGCTGCGGATGAGAGTGTCTGGGCCTCGTGCATACAGGGCAGACCAGACGAGCCTCCTGAGACCCCGCACAGTGCGGGTGGGGAAGGGCTGATGGAGGAGGGGTGCCAGGAGGGCAGGGCAGAAGCGGCGGGGGGCATCCAAGAGCCACGGAAAGGGACTAGCGCGTGCCCTGCCGGGAGAGTCCTGCGGACGTGGGGCCAGACGCTCGGGCCGGGGCACGGGGCCAGGATGTCATCCATTGCGTTTCTCTGCGGTGAGAAAATGCAGAGCTACCGGTGCCTTCCATGGAAGGAGAGCGGTGCTCGGTTGACGCAGGAGAAAATGCAGCGTGTGGGCCGACGGTTGTCAGGGGCAGTGACTCCAGTGTGGAGAGAAGGTTCTCTCGGCTTCCTGGGTTCGGAGGGGCACGGTTCCCCTCTCGCTCGGGGATGCGCTTGCCCGCAGCCCTCACGAGCGAGCGGAGACAGGCGCGTGCTCGCTTGTGGAGCTGCTTCCAGCTTCCCGGGTGGAAAGCCCTGCATGAACGCCGTGTTGGCGGAGGGAAGGCCAAAGCCAGCAGTCACCACAACGGAGACGGTGGAGAGCGGGACGCGGGATGCGACGGGAAGCCCCGGAGGACCCGCGCCTGACGGTGAGGGCTCGTCAACTCCAGAGCGACGGTAAGGAGCCCCCTGCTGGGAGTCAGGTTAGTGACAGAACCAGTAAGGAGGGTGTGGCCTTCTCAGGCCTACGGTCAGGAGCCCTGGTGGCCGCTCTGAAGTGCCAGATCGTGGGCGGGAGGGTCGGGGGGTACAGGGCTGACAGCG